TGAAGGTGTTCCCAGCCATGTTCAAAATAAAAGGCTCACTTTGGGCAGTCACCAGCAACCCGCCAGCCAAACCCAATGGCCCTCCTTTGCTCTGCAGCACAAACACCTTTGATGCTTTAATGTTTCTCTGACTCCCTCTTCCCTTGACTCCCCAGGTCCTGCTCTGCCTTGCCTCTGCCTCCTTTAGCTCCATCCCAGTTTTAATCACCCACTAATCACCCACCTAGTATGTGTTATTTTCCCCTTGCTCATCCACAGAGATTAACTGCATCACTTCCCCATGCTCCGGAAGTTGCCCTCTGGTGATCTACTCGGCTCCAACCCCAATTCCACATGCCTTTGCAGATGTGGACACATAACATCATGCCTCTCCCATCCCCAATTCCCATCTCCCTGTGACCCAGTAGAGCTTATGACACACAGCAGGACTGCGGTTGGGATCACTGCTGGAGCCACCACCCAAAACCTTAGCGTGAAGGAAGATTAAGACAAGGAGGCAAAGAAAACAAATCATAATGAAATCACTCAAACTCTGAATCTATGCCAGAAGCCAAATATACTCTTGAGCTTTTTAGTGATATAACCACTAACTTTCTTTTTTGCGTAAGTCAATTTGAAGAGCATTTTCTACCACTCATAAAAGAAAGGATCTTTTGATATCTAATTTCTCTATATGTTCCCTCCGTTATGGTTGGGATCTAAATGTCCCCCCTCAAGGCAAGCTGATATAGGCTTTGGGGAAGCAACTGGGTCATGAAGGCTCTAACTTCACCATGTGGATTAATCCACCAAGATCATGATTTGATAGCATTGTTGGGAGCTGATGGAAACAGGAGGTAGGTCTAGTTGAAAAGAGTGGATAATGGGAGCATCATCTTGAGAACTATTTTTTGTTCTCAGCCCCTGCCTGGCTGGCTCTTTCCCTCTCTCTCTCTCTCTGCTTCCTGGCTGCCATGAGGCGAGCAGCTCTGCTCCACCACATACATCCTTCTGCCATGATGTCGTGCCTCACCTCAGGCCAACACCAATGGAACCAGCTGACCATGGACTGAAACCTTAGAAACCGTGAGCCAAAATAAGTTTTCCTCCTTTAGGTTATCTATGTCAGGTATTTTGTCAAAGTGATAAAAAGCTGACTAACACATTCTCCATCCCCTCTCAAACCCAGTGATTCCAAACTCTCCAGCTACAAGCTAGAAAACACTGCCGAGACCAAGACTCAGGTCCACCCACCTGGCAGATGTTTTCTCCTCTGTCACACCCAGGCACCTTGGCTATGACAGTGCACAGTATGGAACTCATCACCTCTCCTCCTAACATCCCAGTACAGTATTCTTCCTGTACCTCAGATAAAACATCCCTGCCCACCCAATTTCTCAAAATAGAAACCAGAGTTGGGCCGGGGATTTAGCTCAGTGGTTTTGCCGCCTGCCCTGTAAGCGCAAGGACCCGAGTTCGATCCCCAGTACCAAAAAAAAAAAAAAGAAACCAGCAATATCCTAGACCACTCCTGGCAGGTAATTTCTTTTTGACTGCATGACCTTTGGTGGGTTAAAGAACATGTCTGAGCCTTGGATTTCCATACGGACTCACCAGGATTGAATGAGTTAATGTACGGAAAGCAGTAAATGTTGGTCTATCCCATTCCCTACTGCAGATATCCAGCGCATCATGAAACTCTAACTCTCCTGGGGATGGTGGTGAAGGCCTCTAATTTCTAGGAAGCTGAGGCAGGAGAATCAAAAGTTCAAGCCCAGCCTGGGCAACTTAATGACTTAGCAAGACACTGTCTCAAAGTAACAAGTGAAAAACCGACTGAAGATATATCCCAGGGCTTAGTGCAAAAGCCCTGGGTCCAATCCCCACTACCACTAAAACAAAACAAAACAACCTGGGCCGGGGATTTAGCTCAGTGGTTCCAGTGCCTGCCTCGCAAGCACAAGGTCCCGAGTTCGATCCCCGGTACCAAAAAAAAAAAAAACCAAACAAAAAAACAAAACAACCTTATCCTCACTGCCATTTCCCCAGCCCGGAGCCTCACCCGCATTCCCCTGAGTTACCAGTAGATGTTTACAGCTCATCTTATCTTTCATCTCACCCCCACTCCAATCTGTCCTCCCCACGGTTGCCAGACAGATGGTTCCCTACGCAGGCCCGGTTGTGCCATGTTCCCCCAGCACCTGCAGAAAGTATTCACTGGCAGACGCCCTCCACCTCTTCTACCTGCACTCCAGCCTCCTGCCGTTTTCCCTGACCGTGGGGCTCTGTGCGTTGCTCCCACCACCCACTCTGAAGACCTGGTGAAAAACACCCCTGAAAAGTCAAAGGAAATACAGGTTGGCTAAAGAAGCTCATCCTGACCTACCTGGTGCCACAGAGAGGAGGGAACGTGAACAAATGAAAAGGAAAAGCACCAAGGGTTTAGAGTATTCTTAAATAAAAAAAGGCAAAGAAAAAAATGAAGAGGAAAGGAGAAATGTAGAAAGATTTAATGTGTAAACAGGAGGGGATGACGCCCTAAGCAAAATGAAAAACGTGGCATCACAAAGCAAAATAGAGATTCTACCTCATAACATTAAATACTTCTGTACCATCAAAGGTTGATGAGCAAAGTTGAAGACAAAAAAGGCGAGATATTTATTTACTAACACAGGAAGAATTAAAGCTCAGAATTTAAAAAGAGTCACACAAAATGAGGAAATTACAAACAGCTCAACAGAAAAATGGACAAAGGATTTCATCAAGCAATGAGAGGACGTGTAAACCGATTTAAAATTTTTTTAAAGGGTAAACTTGGGAGACTCCATTAGCATATAAAATGCACCGAACTGATATGGAATGGTCTCCAAGAACTAGGGTAAACTTTCAAAATGGCATATGCAGGAGCGGTTATAAAGCACGCTACTCTATTTATTTCCGAAAGGCAAACAATGAGTGATATATACTTTTTATTTGCCTGAGGGTACATGGATTCTCTCTGAAAGAATAGATAAAAATGGGAAAATTAGTTATATCCCAAAAGGGAAGCAGCTGCGAACCAGAGCAGGAGGAAAGTGTCACCGTTTATAACTTAAATGTTCTACCTCTTTTTTTTCTTCAGGTACTGGGGATCAAACTCAGGGCCTGCACACTGAGCTACATCCCCAGCCCATTTTCTGGCTTTTTGTTTTGAGATGGTTCTCACTAAGTCACTATGTTGCCCAGGCTAAGCCTGAAATTGTGGTCTTCCTGCCTCAGCCTCCCGGTCTGCTGAGATTACAGGCCTGTGCCACAAGTCCCAACAGGTGCTGTACCTTTTGAATACAGTCTCTCCCCTGAGTAAATGTAAATAAGTACGTTAATTAAATCTCTTTTTCAGCACAGTCTCTCAGACCTCAATAAGCAAAGAGAACTGAGCTTAAATAACTTTTTAACATGTGCATTCTCTTTGACCCACCAATTCCATTTCTAGGAATAATTTTTATCCAGAAATGCTCTTTATGGACACAAATGAAGATACATAGATATATTAAGTTGGAAACCATCTAATTAGGGTTGGTGGCATATGTCTGTAACCCCAGCACTCTAGGAAGCTGAGGCAGGAGGACTGAAAGTTTTAGCAATTTAGTGAGACCCTGTCTCAAAACTTCAAAAAATAACAATGAAAATAAAATAAAAAGCTCAGCGCCAAGGTCCTGGGTTCAATCTTCAATACTGAAAAAAAACAAAAAAAGTTGAGAACAATTTAAGGGTTCACCAGTGGAGGAATGTTACATCAAAATTTAATCACGGATATTATATATCCTCTCATTTACATATCTTACAAAATATATTCAATAATTTTGAGTTGATCCCCCAGTTTGAAATGTAAATAATTTACTATGTCTCATGCTATAATGTCAATAAGCCACATATGAAATATTCATATTTCCAGACTTGTTGCATATGTACTTACGCATTGAAAAAGACCTAGAAAGAAACCCATTTACAGTGGTTACCCCGGAGGTGAGGACGGGAAGTAGAGGAGAGGTGGAGGGAACCTTAATATCTTTTCCTATATATTACTGCATGTGAAAAATGTCTGAAAAGAGCTGCTATTTCTGAAAACTTGCTACAGTCCAGGCATGCTGTCCCTTAGGCACCCAGCCGGGCTGAGGGACGGGCCATTCTACTTCAGACCTGCTCTTCACACAGTGCTCACTCACCCGTGACTTGAGAATAAAATAAACACAAATCAAAATAAAAATGCCAATGCACTTCCTCCGGCGTTGCTCCTAGCGGACTGAATACTCTTTCCTTTGTCTTCCCAGGCGTCCCTGAACATATCTGCCACAAATGCCATTCTCTCCGCTGCGGGGCACACACACTGACCATGGAGACAGACAAAAACTCTTCATTCGCATTCTCTCTTCAGGGAGGACCAGAATCACAGGAACATAGGTACAGACGGAATGAATGAAGGATCGAGTCATGAAGTCAGACCTTCCCCCAATGCAGGCAGCCCTGATAGCCACCTCTACTTTTACTGATGATTTTGTTCTTTTTTTTTAAACAGTAATTTTTATTTATTTATTTATTTATTTTTTGGTACCGGGGATCAAACTTGGGTCTTTGCACTTTCGAGGCAAGCGGCAGAACCACTGAGCTAAATCGCCGGCCTCCTGATGATTTTGTTCTTCAAGAAAAACTTCCAGAAGATACCACCTCTCCCCTCCAGTCCTGCTTTACTGCATTTCAGCGAGACAGTTAAGTGCTTCCAAAGGTCTAACAGGCTGACCCCAACCAGCCCCCACACGTAATTCAGTCACCTTGCACGTTTTTAAACATGTTTTTAATTAGCTGACATATTTAGAAATATGGAGCTTTTTTTCTAAATATATATGGCTCTCCCAAAACTCAGGTCAGGTAACAATGTGCTCAAGCCCGTAGCACCCGCAGCCACCTCTTTATCACGAGGCTGGCAGTGCCCGGCACTGCTGCCACCCTCCCCTGCTCTGCAGCGGACGCGCACTGAAGTATACCTCCTTTTGCTGACATTCAGGTCAGTTCCAGTTCAGCCCATTCTGTCTTCCACAGAACACAGAGAGTGCACACCGCGCTGACCATGCAGTCTGCCTCAGTCTCAGCAAACTCCGTGCACAGGGCTGCAACACAAAGACATGGATCTGGGTACCTGCGCCTTAGCTTTAGTTTGGGGAAGTCAGGCAGGCTTCTCTGTTCTCACTGTCATGGCCGGGAAGCTGAAGAGCAGGGGAAGGCCCTGGTTAAAGGATCCCCCTATGGCATCAGGGGGCTGGTGGAAAAGTAAGGCCAAGTCAAAAGACCGCGAGTGACTGAAGCTGCTGGCTAACTGGGCAGAGGGCTTCACCTGCCCAAGTCTCAGCTTGCTCCGCCAAAGGGCCAGCAGCACTCCGTGGGGCTGTTCTGGGATGGAATGAAAAAGGAAGGGTACAGCACACACTTCTCAGGGATAAAGACGGGTGTGGGTCAGTACTGAAAAGGGCACTCTGAGAGAAGTGACAGTGACTGCAGCTGCAAAGCCAGTTAGGACTGAGGAGCGCTGTGCAAGGTGACCAGAAGTCCCTCCCCATCCCTTGGCTGCCCAGAGAGCCTGGGAAACGCCTTTCTTCACCTGCTCTAGTAAGATGCATTTGAGGGGAACATTCTTAGGGCCACGGAGAGCTCTCCAAGACCCCGGGGTGGGGTGGGGGGCTCAACTCTTGGGGCAGAGGAGGTCAGGCTGCATGGACTCTTCCAGGACGCAATCCAGGGATGCGGTCTGGTCCTCCCGGGGCCTCCAGCACTCGAGACAGGCTCTCCTGGCGTTATCACTGCCCCTCCAGCCAAGGTCCCCTCCTTCCCAAACCATGCTCGGGCCTCTCTACTTCGGGAGGGAGGAGGATCAAAGGACCGGCTGCTGAAAGCCCTTTGCAAAAGGGAGGGGAGGGACATACAACACGGAAACAGCCTCGAAGCTTGCCGTGGAGTGATGCCAAAGCCCGCTGCAAGGTCCCTGGAGATCACTCAGCACCCGGAGACGCACTCGCCCCCAAACACCCATGCGGGTGCGCTCTGGACCCGAGGCGCCCAGGGCCGGCCAAAGGCCCCAGCAGCCCACCCTAACCGCACTTGCCTCTCGCGGACTTCGGGGCGCACTCGCCTCCTGCTCCGGGTTGAGGACCCACGGTGCCCAGGGTCCCAGTTTGGGGTGCCGCTCACCTGTCCCCGGATTCCAGCCGCTGCGCTCACATCCCCCACCCTAAATGGGGTGTGGAGCCCTGGCCCTGGAGGCTCCCGTGAACCGACTCCCAGCGCACACCGCTGCTCTTCTTCCCCGGCCACTTTCGGGGATCCGGTGCGCTCGGCAGGGTGGGGGCTGCTGCTGGCCGAGGGGAGGGGCGCGCCCCGAGATCTTCCCACAAAGGGCCCCGCCTCTCCAAGGCGAGGCACCCGGGAGGGCGGGTTCCCTCCCCGGGACGCGGGCAGGGGGAGCCGAGGGGCCGGGCGCCGCGGGAAGGGGGCGCGGGGTCCCCGCTGCCCGCACCGAGCCCCGGCTCTGCCCCGCGCCCGCCCGGCAGCCCCCGCCCCGCCGCGTCCAGCCTCGGCCGCCGCCGCCCGCCTCCGCCCGCATCCGCCCCGCCGCGCTCGGGCGAGAGGTTTCGGGTTTCAGCCTCGGGCCGCGCGCCCCGCCCGCCCGCGGACCCGGCCGAGCAGGCCAGGCACTCGCCGCGCCGCCCGCCTCCGCGCGGGGACCCCTGCGCCGCCCCGGGCTCCGCCCCCGCCCCCGGAACCCCGCTCCCCACCCCTCCGCGCCCGGCCCTGCGCCTCCCGCCGCTTCCCACCGCCTGCCCGGCCTCTGCCCTTTGTTCGCCTCCCCTCGCCGCTCGCCCCACTTTGTTCCCGCGGACCCTGTGGTTCCCTGCTCGGGCCTTCCCTGCTCGCGTCCCTCCGTCCCACTGCCAGCCGTTGGGACGTCCCCTTTTCCGTGCCTCCTTCCATCACACGTCTACTTTCGGCTTCGGCCTCCTCTTCCTCCTCCGGCCTCTCGCGTCCCGCTCACCTCTCATCCACGCGCCCGAGATCGCGGCGGCGCAGAGCCGGTGTCTCTCGCACTCGGATCTCGCCACAGGCCCGGGCTGCTGCGCGGAGGAGTCCAGTGCCTCTCCGTCTGTCTCCACTACTTCCCACCTTCTGTACCTGTGCCCAGCCGCCTACGGTTCCTATGCAGCAGTCCTAGGAAGGGAATGAAAAGTTGAAGCCAACGGTACAACACCTGGGGGGGGGGGGGGCTCATTTTAAAAGAAGGTCAAACAGGGCAGTGAAATAATCAGGTATGAACTTATAAAGCCCAGTTTGCTAAACTCCAGGAAAAAAAAAAAGACTGATGCTATGTTTAGAGCAGGATTCAAATTCCTCTGAAAGTTACCTGCTTTAATAAATGCAATTATTATTCCCGAGTCTACATACTGACCCCCTGGGAGCTGCTTCCTTATTATTATTAGGCCACCGACGCATCGCTTGAAACGATAATTTACTATCCAGCATCTGCCAACCACCCAGACTGCTTCAGGAACAAATGGGAAAAAAGTAAATGCGTGCCTTACTATTCCTAAGGGATCCATGCTATATTTGGTCAAAAGCGAAAGCTGAGCGCCTCTTAAAGGCTAGGTCGCCCAGCAAGCCAGATTCTAGAAGCAGCTTCAAGCAGGCTGTTCTCTGTAGAGTCCTTTAGACATTTATTCTGAAATCCCTGCTTATTGATTTAATTTTTACGACTCAGGCCTGTGACCCTGGGGGAGTCAGTTAACCTTTCTCAGTCTCCGCTTCTTCATATATAAAATGAGGATACCGTACCTGCCTATCTGCAGAGTGAAAAGGTTCCATGAGATAATGTAAGTAAATCCCCCAGTGTCACAGCGTCCCCTTAAGGACTAAGTCCTTTGAAAATTGATATTCCAGAAGGATCTCAAAATTCATGGCACAGACAGGTATGGAGGGAATGAGAACCAGAAAAAAATCACTGCTCCTATAGTTCCGAATCCCTCTGTGAGACAAAAGATGTGCTCCCTACTGAGTAATCTTCATCTGGATTTACTGAACTCCATTTTGCACTCTGCCGCGGAAAACACTATTTTCTCCTGCTATTTCTTATCAAATATATTATTTATCACAAAGATTTTTTTCCCCCATAGCTCATATGCTCAGAACTTACTGTGCGTTCAGGGATACAAATTGCTGCCCATAATTGCATTTTTCAATTGCTCACTTAAGTTTTTTTGGTTTTTTGTTTTGTGTTTTTAGTTCTAGAGCTAATATTGAGCAATATTCAGTCAGATCCAGAGAAAACATAAAAATTGTTATTAATTCTTTCACTGTCACTGTATATGTGATAATCATGTGAAAAACATGATTTTGTGCAAGAACATAATTGTCCTTCATAAAAAAGAAAAAGATACAGAAACACTATTTTTCCAAATCAATTTCATAAGCTATTCTTTTTTAAGCCAACCACATAGATGTCTTCACTAAGATAATGAGAGGCCTCATCCAACTGACTCCTGAATGCTTGTTAAAGAATCTGCAATTGATGAGACATCTTTTATATAAAATCACTTTAATCCAGCAGTCCACATAAAGCTAATAAAAGCAAAATGGTGATGCATGTGCTATGTTCCCCTGGAACATTGTTGTCCAGTAGTTCCTTTAGAAACGGCTTGCCAATTAAAGGCATTCCAGGCCCTTCTTGCTCCAACAAAGAAGTGGATGAGCCAAGGCAAAAATGGTGCCAAAAGTTTAGTTGAAAAGTGAGGGGTGAAGGGGTAAGGGAAGAACTAGCTCTGCAGAGTGAACTTGGGCTGAGCAAAGAGAGGAAAGGATAAAAGCAAAAATAAAAGTGCACTCTGCAGAGTGGGCTACTATGAGGAGTCACGCTAGCAGGCTCTTCTTGTGCCTGTCTTATAGGCCATCCACGTCTCACGGGACCCCGCGAGAAAGTCCACACCTGGGCTCCTGGGAATTATTTGGCTCTTTCCTCGGACCTTGTAACTGACCAGTCCCGATTATTTCCCCAGCCAGCTTTGCCATGCCCAACCCCCTCTATCAATATTAGTCACCATTCTTCACAGGCTGAATCATTCTGACCTTCACAACACAGCAGAAATGTTTCCTCCCCGGAGAAGCTTTACCTGAGCCACCAAAAGATGCTCTTTAATTTTTGTTCTTTTTCTATATAAAATGGATCCCAATTTATTATCTATTTTTTCTATGGATTTGTTTACAAGATGCCTCCATTAGTAAACAAACTCTATGGTAGCAAGAGCCCTCATGATGCAAACCATAGAACTTTTTTATTCATCAATAAAGGACTGGGGCCCCGTACAATAAATCTTTTTATGCAGTGTTATAAAAAACACTGTGGATGTTCAAATTAAGATCATTAAAATTTTATTACCATAAAAGCTACATTGCCTTTAATCCCCCTCAAAGTACTCCCCTTTGCTTCAGACACACATGTCTCATCATTCTTGCCACTTTCTGAAGCAGTTCTAGAAGTCCTCTTTCTTGCATGTCTTTTTGTGGTAGCCTCGATGATGTCCTGAATTGATTCAAAACATTTATAGCAATTTCTGTCAAATAAAAACTTTAGAGTGTGGCCTCATCCACTTTTTTCACCAAATCTGTCACCATGTGCCTTCCCCAAAGTCAAAGTGAACCCGAAAAGGAAACATCTTCAATTAATTCAGGACGTGGAGGCAGCCGCTACTGTGCAACAAAAAACACTCACAAAAGAGGACTCCCAGACCTGCTTCAGAAAGAGGCAAGAAGGCTGGGATAAGTGTGTTCAAAGCAAGGGGCAGTACAGTATTTTGAAGTGGATTGATGGCAATGTATATTTTACTGCAATAAGTTTTTAACATAAACATTCAGCATACTTTTAAATTATTACCTGTAATAAATTATTTTGTCATAAATAAATTAATGACAAAAATAGTATCTTCAGGGGCCTCTGGTTCTTAAACTTTGGGATATATAAGAATAGGTTTTAAGGGCCAGGGATTTAGTTCAGTGGCAGCGTTCCTTCCACGTAAGCCCAAGGTACCGAGTTCGATCTTCGGTACAAAAACCAAAACAAAACCAAAAGAATATGGACCAGGAATTTAGCTCAGTGGTGCCCCCGCCTGCCTCGCAAGCGTAAGGTCCCGAGTTTGATCCCCGGTACCAAAACAAAAAGAATAGCGTTTATCACATGCACAGTGCTAAAAGAGAAGTTTGGTATGTTGGACTTAATTAACATTAAAAACTGAGTGCTTCAAATGACACCATCAAGAAAGTGAAAGACAACTCACAGAATGGGATAAAATATTTGCAAATTATAACCTGATAAAGGTCTTGGGTCCAGAATAAAGAAGTCCCATAACTCAACAAAAACGGTAAATAACCTATTTTTTAAATGGGCGAATGATCTGAACAGAAGTTTCCCCAAAGAAGTATACATGGTCAATAAGCACATGAAAAGGTGGTTGAGATTATTGGTCATTAGCAAAATGCAAATCAAAACAATGGGATTCTGCTCCACATCTACCAAGAGAGCTAGGTGCCCACCAGGACTGGGCGAGACGTGAAGAAAGTAGGACGCTCCCAAATTCCCGGTGGGAATACGTGCTGACGCACCACGTGAGAAAAGAGCTTGGCGTAAAGTCACCACGTGACCCAGCAATTCCCTGTCTAGGTACAGTATCTGCCCCCCACCCAAATGAAAACGGATAGTCACTTTAAAACCTATATACAAACGTCTGGAAACCACCCAACATCCATCAATGGATGAATGCATTTTAAAATGCAATGTAATCCTGTAATCTAATGTTGTCCCAGCACTGAGGAGACTGAGACAGGGAGGATTAAAAGTTCGAGTCCTCCCAGGGCCGCTTAGCTTAGTTGCAGAAGTGTCCCTGGGTTAGATCCCCAGTACCACAGAAAAACAAACAACAACAAAAATAATGTATCCATATATCATATAATGGAAAACTACTCAGCCATTAAAAGGAATAAAGTACTCATACATGCTACGATGTGGATGAGCCTTGAAAATATTAGGCTGAGAGAAGCCAGACATAAAATCCCACCCACTGTATGATTTCTCTTATAGGAAATATCCACAATAGGTAAATCTCTAGAGACAGTAAATTAGCAACTGGGAAGGCCAGGGCTTGGAGAGGGTAGATATGAGGCATGACTGGGGAGGGGTACAAGGTACCCGCCTCGGCTCCGGGGTGGACTCTAAGTGCCAGTGTCTCCCGCCTCCACTCTGTCACAGTGACGGGCTCCAGGGATCACATCAGCCTCGAGCCTGTCCGGCCAGAGGGAAACTCAAGGATGTACGCTGCAGACAGCGGACACCTGGCCTCTTCGTTCTCAGGCTGTAATGAGGAAGCAGGTGGCCCTACGCTTGTTTATTAGTCCGCGTTTGCAGTTCATGATGATGACATTCCTCGTGGGGAGTTGGGACAGCTACATAACACGTCTTCATTCTGTTTTTATCCCTTTTTTCTCCTCTCTCTCCCCTCCCCCATTTC